TATCTGTTGGCATATGAATTCCACAGTATCCATAATTGGTACACTGGTGAAGAGTGACAGGCTTCTCATTTACATTAATATCACGTACGTTAAAAATGAATTCAAAAACGTCTTCAACAGTATGATTCACCACATTCTTGTGTAACGGTTGGAGGAGTTTACCTAGCCACTTTGCCATCCTATGGTAGGTGGAAATAGATATGTCTAGAACTGGGCGAAGAGGAAGTCTTCCTTTATGTACTTTGGGCAGACCGTACAATCGTGAAGTATTACTTCCAGTAGGTTTAAGACGGTTGTAGGCTGCCTCTGAGATTACTCCACTTTTTCTCAGCTCCTTAAGCGTGTTTGTTAGCTGCTTTTCAGCCTTTCTGTCTAGATCTGTTGGACTGTTAAGCTTTTGGAATTTCGTTTCATCCATTAGAAGCGAATTCATTTTGTCAACGTAATCACACTTATTCAACACTACTACTCCGTCACCTCTACCAGGTCTACTGATCATAGTGTTTTCGTTGTTCTTTAACTTTCTTAGGGCTTCCCAATGCTGTTCAGTCAGCAACCTTTTACTAGAATGACTAATGTTTTTGTACTGCTGACAACTGTCAACTAGTGTAGTTTTAAACCTAGCGACCTCATCATCTCACAATGGGATCAAGTCTTTTGTTTGGAGGAAGTTTTCAAACTGGATATTAGTATAAAGTTGGTTGACCTTATATCTTTGGTCACAATCACTGAGCGTGTAATTTTGGTTTACGTTAAACTACATGAAATAGAATGTTCAAATACATATATAGTATTCTGTTGCTAATGTAGTATTGAACTGTGGGAATATGTGAGAAAGTTCTAGATTAATTTCCGGTCAACGGTTAAATTAATACAAAATACAATTAGCAATTAAAATAACATAATAAACAGGGGGATAAAACTCAAACACAGAAGCATCATGATTACTGAGATGATTGACAGATTGTGCAAATCAAGGGTGAGAAATGTAGAAAGCAAAACAGGTGATTCAGCGAAGAGACTCTGATCAACGAATATATTATCAAGCTGTTCAATCGTATATGTGGTGTTTTTAAGAAATTATATCCGGTGAGGAAATTGAATCATAGGTGTGAATACATCAAATAATAATAATGTAGTATGAAACGCAATTAAAGTGTTTGTGATATATATAGTTAAATGTCAAGTGGCAGAACAATTAGTGTCATACATAGAATAATTCATAGGATGTGTAGAACTTGGAAGGGGTGTGCTATTATTGGATTACTAGGTAAATCGAATAAGATAAAAACGTTACATAACAGTGTGTGAAATTTGATAAGAAGAATTTAACATTGCAAAAAGAATTGATTTAGAATGACAAGTGCAACGAGTGAAATAATACCGGGGACAGTTCAAAGTGAGAACAGTAATAGTAACAATTGAAGTAATAAAGGAAGATACTAATATCAGTAAAAAGTTTGAACATTGTGGATTAGATCAAATAAAGTATAATTATATTTCAATAGTTTACACACAATGATAAGTTTTGTTATTGGTAATATTTCGAGCAAAATTACTGCCCGTGTTCACACCACTGTTGGAATTGTTTGATTCACACATTTATGATTTGTACTCATATATATAGTTCATTATTTTTGCTCATTCATGTTTTTTTTTTTTGTATTTGAGTTATATTCCACGTTCATTCATGTGTTTGTATTCAGAATTATATTCCAAGTTGTTGATAGTTGTACTGAGTCACCCTTGTTACATGTATCCGGTGTGACTTTAATGAATATCGATTCTGTTATAAGTCTTTCTTTCCATTTGTTCATGTTAGTTTTTAGAATACACACATTGTCCCAATCGATATTGTGGTTTTTGTCCCATGCATGTGCAGCTATCGATGAATTTTTTTCAAGATTTTTGTAGGCTTGTGTTCCTGTTGGTTGACCTTTGGTTAGGCGTTTATGTTCATTCACTCTTATTTTGAGTGATCTGGACGTTTGCCCCACATATTTAGTTGGACAGTCAGCACAAGATATTTTGTAAATCAAGTTGTTTTTATCCATCATTTTTATGGGATCTTTCAGTTGATTTATTTTATTTTTGATTAGATTTGTCGGTTTGAAAGTTGTGTGAATGCCGATATTTTTGAGGTTTCTTTGAATTGCCTCTGATGTACCATTTTTATATGGTATTGTGACTGTCTTTTTGCATTCTTCCATCTTGTTATTCTCCGGTTTTACCCTCTTTTTTCTCTTTTTTATATTATCTTTTATAAATTCTTTTGGGTAGTTGTTTTCGAGTAGCATTTTGAATAGGACATTTATTTCTTTACATTGGTCCTCTGGCGTTGTTGTAAGTCTACGTATTCTATCTGCAAGTCCTTGTATTAATCCTCGTTTCACCGTGAGTGGATGAGCTGAGTGATAATCAAGAAATCTTCCAGAGTGTGTGGTTTTTCTATATAGCGTCGTTTTAATGCTACCATCTGTTATTCTTTGTATTTTGCAGTCTAACATAGGTAGTTCCCCAATTTCATTCTCTACTTCCATAGTGAATTTTATTGAGTCGACATGGCTGTTTATGTGTGAGAAGAGTTTCTCAATATCGTTTTTTTTCACTATTACTAGTGTGTCGTCTACATATCTCCACCAACATTTCAGTGATGACCTGAATGGTTTAAGGGCATTCTCTTCCCAATAATCCATGAATATGTCAGCTATTATTGGTGAGATAGGCGATCCCATGGCCACTCCTTCATTTTGTTGGTATATCTTCCCTTCGAATGTGAAATATGTTGTTGTCAGACAGAATTCCACTCCTTTTATTATCTCTTCTACGGATAACTGTGTTCTGTCTTTTAGGCTATTATCTTCTTTTAGTTTCTCTTTCAGTGCATTCATGGCCATTTGAATGGGTATTTTCGTATAGAGACTGTTTACATCAAAGCTGACTAGTATTTCATCTTCCTCTATTTTAGTGGTTTTTAGTCGCTTCACTAATTCGAATGAGTCTACTATTCTAGCTTTTGAGTTGTCTCTTGTTGGTCTTAGTATTGTCGAGAGAAATCTCGATAGCATATACGTCGGTGTGTTTCTAAAATCTACAATCGGTCTTATTGGATATCCCTCTTTATGCAATTTTATCTTGCCATATATTCTAGGTATATTGCATGATTTTGGCATAATTTCAAACCATTTTGACTTACCGATTACTTCTTTCATTTGTCTGACTACATTTGCTGTTTCTTTCATTGTTTTGTTCGTGATTGTTTCAGCTGACTTCGTCATTAGGGTATAGGGTCCAGATTGTAGATGTTCATTCATCTTTTGATTATATGTCGTTTTGTTAAGTATTACTGTTGTGTTTCCTTTGTCTGCTTGAGTAATGACAATGGATTTGTCTGCTTTTATGTCTTGGAGTGCTTTTAGTTCCTCCTTCGTTACATTCTGTTTTTCTGTTTTTTGCTTTTTTAAGGTTAAGGCACATTGTGCTCGTACCAGTTCTGCTTTTTGCTTGTCTTGTCCTTCTAGTGCTGTTTCAATTACCGGTATGATATCTTCAGGTTTTAATCTTTTGTTGCTAATATTGACGTTCATCCCTTTCATCAGTACGCTTTCCTCTGCTTCTGTTAGTTTTCTGTCTGACAAGTTTACAATCCAGTTGGTTTTAGTTACTTGTTTGTCATTCGGAGTTTTCGCTATCATGAGTTTATTAAATTATTTTATTTGTTTCTTCTTTGTTTTTTCATAGGTAGTTTCTTTTCGTTTTTGTGCAACTTCTAGTATGCTTTCATACTTTTCCTTTTCAATTGCTCCTTTCAATTTTTCTTTTGTTTCATTAATATCTTTCCTTATTGTGAATAGCTTTCGTATAATTCCACGTAGGTTTTCTTTGATGCATATTTTTGAGGCATGTGTGAGCGCTGCATTTGCTTATATCAAGCTGAATCTCGATTTATGAACCATCGAATTTTCAACATCAGATGCCTAAAAAATGGAATTATTCCTGTATACATGAAACTAAAATCACCGATATCTACTGATAAAGCAAATGCAGCGCTCACACATGCCTCAAAAATATGCATCAAAGAAAACCTACGTGGAATTATACGAAAGCTATTCACAATAAGGAAAGATATTAATGAAACAAAAGAAAAATTGAAAGGAGCAATTGAAAAGGAAAAGTATGAAAGCATACTAGAAGTTGCACAAAAACGAAAAGAAACTACCTATGAAAAAACAAAGAAGAAACAAATAAAATAATTTAATAAACTCATGATAGCGAAAACTCCGAATGACAAACAAGTAACTAAAGCCAACTGGATTGTAAACTTGTCAGACAGAAAACTAACAGAAGCAGAGGAAAGCGTACTGATGAAAGGGATGAACTTCAATATTAGCAACAAAAGATTAAAACCTGAAGATATCATACCGGTAATTGAAACAGCACTAGAAGGACAAGACAAGCAAAAAGCAGAACTGGTACGAGCACAATGTGCCTTAACCTTAAAAAAGCAAAAAGCAGAAAAACAGAATGTAACGAAGGAGGAACTAAAAGCACTCCAAGACATAAAAGCAGACAAATCCATTGTCATTACTCAAGCAGACAAAGGAAACACAACAGTAATACTTAACAAAACGACATATAATCAAAAGATGAATGAACATCTACAATCTGGACCCTATACCCTAATGACGAAGTCAGCTGAAACAATCACGAACAAAACAATGAAAGAAACAGCAAATGTAGTCAGACAAATGAAAGAAGTAATTGGTAAGTCAAAATGGTTTGAAATTATGCCAAAATCATGCAATATACCTAGAATATATGGCAAGATAAAACTGCATAAAGAGGGATATCCAATAAGACCGATTGTAGATTTTAGAAACACACCGACGTATATGCTATCGAGATTTCTCTCGACAATACTAAGACCAACAAGAGACAACTCAAAAGCTAGAATAGTAGACTCATTCGAATTAGTGAAGCGACTAAAAACCACTAAAATAGAGGAAGATGAAATACTAGTCAGCTTTGATGTAAACAGTCTCTATACGAAAATACCCATTCAAATGGCCATGAATGCACTGAAAGAGAAACTAAAAGAAGATAATAACCTAAAAGACAGAACACAGTTATCCGTAGAAGAGATAATAAAAGGAGTGGAATTCTGTCTGACAACAACATATTTCACATTCGAAGGGAAGATATACCAACAAAATGAAGGAGTGGCCATGGGATCGCCGATCTCACCAATAATAGCTGACATATTCATGGATTATTGGGAAGAGAATGCCCTTAAACCATTCAGGTCATCACTGAAATGTTGGTGGAGATATGTAGACGACACACTAGTAATAGTGAAAAAGAACGATATTGAGAAACTCTTCTCACACATAAACAGCCATGTCGACTCAATAAAATTCACTATGGAAGTAGAGAATGAAATTGGGGAACTACCTATGTTAGACTGCAAAATACAAAGAATAACAGATGGTAGCATTAAAACAACGCTATATAGAAAAACCACACACTCTGGAAGATTTCTTGATTATCACTCAGCTCATCCACTCACGGTGAAACGAGGATTAATACAAGGACTTGCAGATAGAATACGTAGACTTACAACAACGCCAGAGGACCAATGTAAAGAAATAAATGTCCTATTCAAAATGCTACTCGAAAACAACTACCCAAAAGAATTTATAAAAGATAATATAAAAAAGAGAAAAAAGAGGGTAAAACCGGAGAATAACAAGATGGAAGAATGCAAAAAGACAGTCACAATACCATATAAAAATGGTACATCAGAGGCAATTCAAAGAAACCTCAAAAATATCGGCATTCACACAACTTTCAAACCGACAAATCTAATCAAAAATAAAATAAATCAACTGAAAGATCCCATAAAAATGATGGATAAAAACAACTTGATTTACAAAATATCTTGTGCTGACTGTCCAACTAAATATGTGGGGCAAACGTCCAGATCACTCAAAATAAGAGTGAATGAACATAAACGCCTAACCAAAGGTCAACCAACAGGAACACAAGCCTACAAAAATCTTGAAAAAAATTCATCGATAGCTGCACATGCATGGGACAAAAACCACAATATCGATTGGGACAATGTGTGTATTCTAAAAACTAACATGAACAAATGGAAAGAAAGACTTATAACAGAATCGATATTCATTAAAGTCACACCGGATACATGTAACAAGGGTGACTCAGTACAACTATCAACAACTTGGAATATAATTCTGAATACAAACACATGAATGAACGTGGAATATAACTCAAATACAAAAAAAAAAAACATGAATGAACAAAAATAATGAACTATATATATGAGTACAAATCATAAATGTGTGAATCAAACAATTCCAACAGTGGTGTGAACACGGGCAGTAATTTTGCTCGAAATATTACCAATAACAAAACTTATCATTGTGTGTAAACTATTGAAATATAATTATACTTTATTTGAATAGCTGAAGTCATGGTGATCGAAACAGAAAAGCCAGATCTCTGTACACAGAAAAAGTTCGTTTCTACGTTTGTCCTTCAAGCTTTGTGAAGGGAATGTGAAGATCTCCTTCTGGAACAGCTGTATGGATAAGCATGAATACTCAAAAGCATTCTTAAAAAATCTGAGGTGAAACGATATATCTCCCAATTCACGCACACTGAGGAGACACACCCAGGATCACATTGATGTCGTCCGATCCAGATTAGCTGAACTGGAACAGAATGTCTGAATGAGTTTCCACGCTCTCTACAATTTGACTGTTGATGAACGTACGTCGCTTGAGTACTACACCGATACAATTACAGGGAAGAGAAAGGATATCATCACGAAACGTAACTAGAGCCTAAAATCCGTCAACAAGGAAACAGCTTTTCTGTCTTGTCCTGAGAAATATGTAATCAATTATTCTGATGTCTCACTTTCGCTGATTCAAATGCAACTCTTGTCGTGTGGACCGAAATTTTGTGATGCATCGTCAAAAGTAAACGACTTGGACATCAAAGTTCAATTCGAGAATTTGATTAGTCAGACGAATGATCTGGTCTCAATCTCATATGACAGTGCAGAATATTTCAAATCAACTATTTTGAATTGCTGCCTCGATTACATCAACAAAAAACCTAGTCTTCGTAATATGCTTTCAGAACAACATCGAAGGCAACTTAAAGAATTGAAATCAAATGAAAACCTGATAATAACTCAACCAGACAAAGGTTCTGGAATTGTTCTGCTCAACAAGTCAAACTATGTGAAGAAACTCTCGCTAATTCTATCTGATGACAACAAATTTCAAAAACAGACGATTCAAAAAGATCCACCTGAACAGATGGAGCTCCAGATAACCAAATTATTGAAAAAAAAAGATGAAACAATTACTAATACACAACTATATGAACAACTTCGTCCATCTGGTTCTATATCGCCACGAATGTACGGACTACCCAAAGTGTACAAGAAGGACGTCCCACTCCGCCCAATATTAAATACGATTAATCCGCCATATCACCTAATTGCGAAGTGGCTGGTATAAATTCTTGGACCGGTGAAAGAAAAGCTGTTGAGATACAGCCTCCGCGCCACATTTGATTTTGTCGATTCAATCAAAAATGTCAACCTTGCAGGTAAAAAAAATGGTCTCCCTAGAACACTGCTGATTGCAAATATTAAGTTCACATTAACAGATATGAAAAAACAGCGATAATGACTACATATTGTAACAAGTTTACCACAATGCTATTCTACGTTTTCAGATCACACACGCTAGTGATATATGTAAATTAACTGTCCCACTTGAATGGTATTAGCTATTAAGATCCTGACAAATTGACAGAAGAATCAGTTTATTAACACACCAACTCAATTCTCTATGAAGTGAATATAAGGACTAACTTATGAGAAAAGGATTTTTTTATCAAAGTGCAAACCATGTACACTTTTATTCAGCCTGAAATAAGCGAAATTTTAATCGCAAACGTAATTTTTAGTAGATATTTGGAGACTAAAATAGTACACAACTTCTTAGAGATTTTACGAGGGCAACTGCGTGTCATTCGGACTATACACTGAACGACAGGGGTAGATTCATTGAGCTTTTTCACTAGCCAACTTACTTGTTAACATGGTCAGATTCTAAAGATGATGCCCAAGCACAGCAAATTATTCGGTCAGTGTCTCTCTCAAGGATAAATATTTAACTCAAGTAAATTCATTACTACGAACTCAGAAAAGCGATAAATGTGTCAACATCGCTAATATGCATGCGAGAATCTTTTTTGATTATGTGACGCGTCAAATAATTATAAATAACAACCAAATAAGTGGAATGGATTTTTATATCAAACAAATGTCTTTCGATTCCTCACATCAGAATTTATAAAATTTACTAATACATGTAAATTGATGTGCACTCAAACGAACTAAGTTTCAGCTAACCCTCATAATCAATAAGATATTAAAATCCTGGGAAAATTACTGATAAATACACAGATAATGAGAAACACATTAGTGCAAACAGACAGCTATTGTAATGACCTCATAATGCAAAAAGCAGTAGAAATACCAAACAACAAATCATCTTACCGAAAGGATTCTGAGATGTTCGTATTCGGAATTGTCATTAAGAGAAACCATAATAACCATACACGGTCCTCATACTACTTACCTCCATGGTGAAACTGCAAAGCGTCAGCCGCTGATAGATATTTGAGCTGCCTTATTAAGTCCTAATTATAGGCTAGAAATGAACCTGTATAGTAGAACGAGATAAAATTGTTAATAGAAAATGAATTCATTTTAATCTGACTTTGATCAGGAGGATAAATTACCAGAAAATAAAAAAATACGGAAATTAAGTGATCATTTAACTTAAATAGTAACAGACTCCCAACCAGAAAAAGTCTATGCAAATAACGGTAAAACGGGACAAAAAATGGTGTATTGATTTTAAAAATTGGTTAAAGTGAGAAAAGGACGTTTGCAAGGTGGGATAAGTGGGAAATGAGAGGAAACGGCTAGTTGGAAACGTGGAATATGAGGAGAAAAGGGTTAAATGAAACAAGTGCCCACGTTTTAATGTGCATTCTTTAACTCCTAAGATGTAGTATGATTCAAGTATTACAACCCAATCCAACAACCTAACAAATGACTTTCAGCGAACACATTCACCCATTATCAATATGTGCTCCGTACACGAAATACGCTTTAACATTAGGATCTAGGATTGCAGTATTGTCTGAAAACTGGACTAACACGAAAGATAAATAACTGCGTGTATGCAGAGACAATGACAATATACTTCTGTGCATGCAAATAATGGACACATCTTCCAGTGTGTTGTTGTCCTGGGAAAATTCGTGCGAGATGATTTTTGTTTTTTGAGTTTCGTATAAAACATTCTTTAGTAAAGTAAAATTATCCCTAACGGAAATGTCATGTTTATGCCACCATTTGATTTTGAAACGACCAGTAACAGTTACCACGACTGGAACTTACAAATTTTACCAAAGAAATTTGCAACTAGATACCACAGGAAGGCAGCATATCACTTCGTGTGGTCTACTTGCTGTTTCTATTCTCTTCTTCAGCTGGCTGCAAAGTCCTATAGAATTTATAAGTCTTAGCTACGGGAACTGCTACTGGTTGTTTTACAAATTCAGTAGTGACATAAATACAGTATTTCCTAGCTAACGTTTTGACAAAATCAGAATAATAAACATACTATGTTATCTATAGGATCCTACAGGTGCACCGCTCTTACACTTTGTATTTAGTTTATAACTTTTTATGATTGGCAGATTTCAAAGTTAATCAGGCGATAACTCCCTTAACCCACTGGTCGTCAAGTGTAATTTTTCAGCACTAACCGCACACATTCAACACACTAAGTTTTTAAAGCACAAAACACCGGATTATAGATGCATAGTTCAGAATTATTGCTATTAGATGGTTGGAGGCAATCGACAGGAAGCCTTCCACCTAGGTTTCGTGCCAGTTGGCACTCACCAGTCAGCAAGGCCTATCTGCAACCTTGAAGGAACTCATGTCTCTTCTGAAATTCGAACCCGCGTTACCCAGTGCTGCAGTCAGAGACGTTACCACTGAGCTACTCGGTCTCGCGATTGACCTCCTGTAGGACTGTATTGAACAGTTCAGTGGTAACGTCTCTGACTGCAGCACTGAGTAACGCGGGTTCGAATTTCAGAAGGGACATGAGCTCCTTCAAGGTTGCAGACACGCCTTGCTGATTGGTGAGTGCCAAATAGCACGAAACCTAGGTCCAAGGCTTCCTGTCGATTGCCTCCAACCATCTAATATCAACAATTTTAAAGTGCATTATGATGGCGAGCCACCTAGCATGGTGGCCAAATTGCAAACCTGACTGAGAATTCAGTCTGCACCAAAGAAAAGACTAGACACATCACACTAGTTACTAGTGTCCAATCAAAGTATAGTTCAGAATTGGTTTAGCATAATTAGGAAATTGTGTGTAGATACTTCGAAAAAGAACGTAGGAATTTACCGTGATGTAACTCTAGGTCTAGTTAGGTTAATTGCATCGGGTCTTTTTAGTTAACTTTACCTACGTTATTTAGTTGAAGAATCGCATTTTGACCTTTTTTGTGAATCGTAAGGTTGTGAAAACCATGGGATCTATTCATAAAGACTCGACGTGGATGAATACTTCTTTGAAGCCTGCTGAATCCACTTATAGTGTCATTATTTGGAATATGAAGGAATCGAGAGACGACGATTCAGCTGTTCTCTATAAACATGTTATTCGGGTAGCTGTGTCTACTTTTCGTGGTCTACCTTCAAAGCAACAAACCGAGTTCATGTAAGAAAGGTCATTACAATCGGCAAACGAAATACCACTGCTATGGAAAGACCTCGACGATTATTGAAAGTAGTACTAGGGAATGAAATGGAAAAGAATATTGTTTTCAACAAAGCATTTAAGATCAAGGAAAGTTGAAAATAAGACCTCATTTGTCGTTGGAAGATAAATTACGAGGGAAGCCGTAGATACCGTGTTTTCGAGTGGTAAAGTCTCGAAAATCTAAGTTGTCAAGAATTTTGTTCGTAAGTTGAGTAAACACAGGCACACCAGTGTGCTGTACGAACAGGTGTAGTCTTAGGAACAAGCTTCCTGAATTACGAGTATTATCTGAAAGGCTCTATACTGATGTTATAACAATTACTGAAACATGATTTTTAGTGGTATGAATATCACTGCACTAACTCATACAAGGATTTATCTGCTTCAGAGCAGACGGCGTAGTTAGTCGGAAAGGAGATGAGGTCGCTCTATACATCGGGGATGATATAGGAATTAGATCAGTGGTTTCGAAAGCACATAAGAATGGCACTAGTGAAGCCGTAGGTTGTTTTAATGGCCCGATTAAGTGTGCTGCAAAGATCGAGGTTATTTACAGAAGTTCTGCCTGTCAAGCTAATGACTTCGTACTAGATTAAATGAGGTCGTGGTGTAGGTGACTTCAGTGCTCCATCTATCACTTAGAAGGAACTAGCGCTAACCAGCATGTTTCAACAGAGAAAGTACACTGACAGTTGTAGAACGTGCGCTCTGACAGCGTGTACGCACAAACATGGAATGACCCTGAACACGACCCGTCTACTTTGGATTTGGTGCTAACACACCAAAAGGAGAATGTAGCGACATTAGGTGTCTCTCAACGCTAAGCAATAGTGACCATGTAGTCACAACTTCACTTTTAAGATTCACGATCTCATCCATAAGTCAAAATATTCTCATTCTAACATTCGGAAAGTTGATAAATTTTATTTATTTATTTTTTTTATTTTGGTTACAGCTTGATGCCACACCGTATTTTCAGTACAAGCATCGAATTTTCAGCATGGATATCGGTAGCCCAAATTTCGCAGGCCGACCATAGATATCGGGTGTGCATCGGCAGGGGATCGAACCCCGGACCATGTGCATGGTCGGCCAGAGTCCTAACCACTGTGCCACCGACGCACAATCCGCAATCCGGAATGAAGTAACGAAGACATCTCGAGATGCACATCTTTTACAGGACCCGCTAACACCCCAAGCTTACTATAATGCTGAATTAAATCTCACTAATTCTGAAGTAATTCTAACATTTTATAGCGAGCATATTCTGAATCTGTTCTGAAATGGGTTCTTACATGGCACAGACTAGAACTCAGTGCTGGTTTTCAGCATTACTGGCACTAATTGAGCACCACGTCCTTTTTCTAAGCATTTTCAGAGTAGATCAGAACCTACTGGGTTTGCTTATCAGCGTTGTTCCAGCCCTCACAGGACATATTAGGCACGGACTAAAGCTATAGCTTTACTTGAGAACGGAAAGACTTTATCCGGCACCCAGCTCTCTTTTTAAGCACGACCAGCGTTATTTCAGAACATAGTGGGTAGATAAAATCTTAATTTACCATGAAAAGGCACTATCGAAGAACAGGTTAGAATAAGTTTAGAATTGGTGGGAGCTTGCGACTGCTTCAGGTGCACTTCGAGCAAATAACTCAGGCAGCTGCATGCGTGACAAACATTTCTTGACGTTTTTATGGCCGATGTTTTCACTTAAATAGGGATATCTCATCAAGATAATTCCCGATATCAAATTATACGTATAATCTGTTATAACAACCGCTAACAAGGTCGCCCTGAATATTATTTATGATTTATCTGTTTATTAGGTAGTTTTGTTTCGGACTGCCTTAGTTTAGAGTCACCACTATGGGGTATTGTTACAAAAATTGGCAATTAAGTTCTTACTTCTGAAAAGAAAAACTCACCAAGCGGTCAAGGTCAACAGGGGTCAATTTGCAGGCGCGCACCAATTAGGAGAAGTTTTTTCTGATGTATTCAAACCAAATCAACTGCCGTGGTATGTGAGATATATTTCCTGCTCTAATTTTGACTGTTCAACTCCCATCATATTTTCAATTGGATGAAATTTAGGCTAAGCGACTGTGGAATGCAATACATGCCACAAAGAAGAGGCGTACCAGGGGTCGAAAACCTGCAGCTCAAGTCGCCCAGGGACTAGTGGATCAAGCCTCATCCACACCGGTGAGTAGCAGGCAGATAAATCCTACTACGATTAGAGAGGAGAACGCCAATGAATGGCGTAACGTAGTCTCTCGCAAAAAGCGAGATAAGGATAACACATTGGATACACCGCCCACGAAGGACAGAAACACACTTACGCCGCAGAGCAAGAAACCCACGGCAAGCAAACCTGATCTCTCTAACAGGTCGCTCATTCTCTACAAAGTGGAAGAGTCACTGGCCCCGATGCCGAGACTAGATTCGAGCATGAACTTAACTTGGTTAAGCCCCTTTAAGACAAGCTATTGCCACAAACAGTATCAGGCATTACTATACACATCGTATATAGAATAGTCCAAAAGCCTGACCCTACAGTAAGTCAGCCTGTACGTCTCCTCAAAGTCGTACTAAACTCTAAAGAAGAGAGGGATGCTATTCTAAGCAACTCTCATATTCCTAAAGAATCAGACATATGTGTCCGCCCCGACTTAAGCCTAGCAGACCGTGTTAAAAGACAGTCTGCGGCCCTAGAATTAAGCGAACGACGCCGAAACGGCGAAAAGAACCTTAAGATTAAGGGTTTTCGGGTTGTCAAAGTTCGCAGTTTAATG